TTGTCTTTTACTACGTCATGCTCCACTTCCGTCGTTTTTCAATTAAATCGATATTCACTTCCGTCGTTCCACAGGGAGCCCGGTAAACTTGCCTTGTTTCAGCCCTTCTCTCTTTCTTACCATTTACTAGGGCGTGCGTTACACTGATACGTTACGTTAATCTGCTATCAAGTTACTGGTAGTACGATTACCGGAAATTCAACGTATCAGCGCCTTGTTTCAAATCTCAACGCAGGAAACCCAAAGCACTTTATTGATTCATTTATTCATGTACTAATCCCAAAGCCGGGCTCCCTGTGGTCGTTCYTCACTTTATCGTAATTCSCTTTCGTTATTCAGCACTTTGGAMGTTCTTTGGAGACTGGGCCGAGCACTAACAAATCATAATTTTCTCCACCCTTATCTGAACGTACASGTGATGGCAACTATATTTTGCAACAGCTTGAAGAAAACAGGCTAATACAGTTGATGCTCTGTTATTTGTGGCACAGCTAAGGAAGACTGGGATGCGTGAAAATCCATCAATGCCACCATGAATCACTATCCTCCATCTGTTGGAAACAAACAATCGAAGACTGATACTCAACTTGCAAATCATAACACTACTGAAATGTTAAGCCTTCCAATATTCACTTATAGACTTACAGTTTTAATTGTTTTGTCATATAACAACTGGTTGGACTATGTGGGGTCTGGCAATTAAACCAATAGACCCTTTCMGTTGCATTACAATGTTTTATCGTTTCAGATCACGTCATTCCCAAGAGTATCATTTCTTTGTTTAGCAGTTGCAATCCCTTTTTACATGTGAAGATACATGAATATCCATGGACACAACTTAAACAACGAACCATATTCTCTAGGGAATGACATGAGGTCTGAAACGATAAAACATTGTAATGCAACTGAAAGGGTTTATTCTGGGTTTATTCTTAGGTATTTTTGATATAAAAATGACTCTTGTGGACTCTAAGCAGTCTTTCTATTTCCCTCGGTTACTGTCTATCTTGTGTTTTCTAATGAGTTGAATCTTCCCACTTTCTTACATGATAAGCTTGTGGTTGCCATCAATGTGCCATAATGCATTTGGGCCACTGACAGTATAGACTCTCCTTTTGAGTCTTTCTCCACCTTTCCACTGTTCCTTCTGGATCAAGGAAACGCATTATACTTCGTAGTCATTGCTGCTGTATCATGATTCCTTTCGCCCTTAAGCAACCTTGCATTATCCTGTATCCACTTCTTGGCCATGTAACTCTTATATCTCTGATAATGGTACAAAGGTCATCATCAGATATATCACTAAACGGCCTAGAAGACGCAATTCCGAATTCAGACATTCGGCGTCTGATTGTTCGCACAGACACAGAAAGCATAGTTGCAATGTCTGTGCAATTGAACCTCTTCTCAAGTAGGTATTCCAATTGTTCTTGAGTTATTTC